TTCTTGTCGGCGTGAGTACTGAGAAGGACCCTAGCTTTGATCCAGATTGGTTCCACACTATCTTCGGCGCGAGCGATTTGTCGCTTTCTTAAAAACTTTCAAAAACAAAATGTTTTGCGCAGTCCTGTGAAGACTTGTGTGGAATCGCTCTTGAGATTGTGCCGCCTAGGATCGCTCTCAGCCTCAAGATTCAATCCATTTGTTTTCGAACCTTGGACCCATTCAGAACGTTCAACGGTCAACCGCCATGTAAGGCCTGTGTGGCCAGATTTGAAGCACCCCTCGAACAAGAGGTACCCAAAGTCAGGTCAAGAAGATCAGATGTCATCAAAAGAAGCTTGCAAAGCTAGATCAGGAGCACCCCTCGAACTAGGGGCAAGAATTTCAAATGTGCTCGAAAAGTCCAAGATGAAGATCGGCAAGAATGCCAAACCCCAGAAGGGAGGAAAGAAGAAGGCATTGTTGAAGGACAACCGAGTTCCTATCCACAGACACTAGGGGCAAATTCACCCTCTATTGGATGGACTCTTGCATCGTCAGCGAACAACAGCCATTCTCCTGGATTCAGATGACTTCGGGATCTCAAAACCATTTGATATGGACAAAGCTATACTTTTACCCTTGAGAGGCTCGCTGGGCCGAAAACCCGGAAGGGCGGCCCAGGCAAAAGTTAGCGCAAGAAAAGGAGGAAAAAGAACAAAAAAGAGAAAAGAACAAAAGAACAAAAAAAGAAAGATGCAAAGAAAAGAACAAAAAAAAAAAGAAAATCAAAAAAGAAAAGAAAAGAATATCAAAAAAAAGAAGAAGAAAAGAATTGAAAAAAGAAAGAAAGAAGAACAAAGCTCGCAAGGTCGAAAACCCGCGACAGGCGCCTTGGCAAAAGTTAGAGCCTGAAAATGAGAGGTTAATACTCGAGTGTACCTTAACCCTGAACTACGTAAGGCTTGATTCCCATGTTTGGGATACGTAGGCAATTTCACTCTGAAGTCCAGCCGTAAAACACTTCAAATTCGATTGTGTCTATGCGATGGTTTTGGTCATCTTTGTTCTCTGTATCTGAGAGTCTGTTTGTGTTCGTCGCTCTGAGGACTTACTACAATGCGCTGCAGTGCTATCCAAACAAGGGGCAACTTTCCGTTGCCATTCAAAACGCCGCAATGTCATTTCAAACAAGGGGCAACTTTCCGTTGCCATGCAGTGTCCTTCAGACAAGGGGCAATTTTCCATTGCTATGGATCCGAGGTTGTGCATCTCATGAGTAGGTTCCGTGCTCGTTGAGCAGTGGTCGTTTGCAAAAATTGTTTTTGAGAATTTTTACTGAGGTTGACTAATCTTCTCGAAAAGTACTCCATTTTTCAAAACTAGACCATTTCTTGGACCCAAAAAAGGAAAACTCTCAGTGCTCATAGCCTAACTTGCATGATTTTAAATCAGAAAATCGAACAAGCATGTTAATCAAACTCTCATTTTGGTCAAAATTGTCTTAGTAGAAAGCCAAAAACAAAAAATGGTCGAAATGATGAACTAGGGGCACAGTTGAGTCAGGTGTTCTGTCTTTTCCCCATTGCCACAATACTTGCCAGAAAGGGCACTCTACTTGTCGGAAAGGGCACCGTATTCCCCAGAAAGGGGCACAACAAAGGGCTGAAAGCTCTCTCATCCTCCAAGCAGCGAGGTATCAAGCTGAGTGCGAAGCACGAATTGGAATGGATCGAGATGCTCCATTCCCTCATCTGGCGCATCGACAGATGTTACCGAAGGAAATAGCCACGAGCTGATTATGTTGGGCGTGTGCCCGCAACTTCCTGTTCATCCATCAACCACCTAGGGGAGGGATTAAAAATGAGAGATTGAAGAATAGAGAGATGTGCGATGAGAGGAAAAGTGAGAAGAGGGCTTTTTCAGAAAAACAGAGCTTGAGGGTCGAGTGATGTGAGAACCACAAATGAGAAAGGGTGGGAAACACTACCTGGTGAAACAGGCTCCCTGTGCACGTCTGAGTGTCGTGTCTTTTTGTTTTATCTCGATTCTTGTTTTGAGTCGTTTCGAGTGTTACTCGATGTGTCTAGGTTGTGTGCCTTTTATTTCCTTATTGAGTTGTCTTGCTGTGTTCAGTCGTAGGCTCGATACCCGGTCAAGAGCTCATTTATCAATTCCAAAATAAAATCGTTTTGTGCTCCGAGTGCCGTGCCGTTCTCTACATTGGTATAAAGAAAAAAGATTCGTTCTTTTGTAAAATCGCTGGGTTCAACCCAGGTCATGTCAGAACAGTAAAACCAGGACCTGTCTAAAGCTATATGAGTTCTAGACTGCAAAGCAAAAGCAAAAGAGGAAAATGTCGGGTATCTGAGTTTGTTTCAACTTCAGTAAGTTCCAGGACTACATTCCGTGTGTACCTCTTCAAGTCTTGCCAATGCTCCGAAGTATGAATGTACCTTTACCTCAAGCTCAAGATCAAGTCTGCTTCAAGCCAGAATAGGCAATCAGAAGTGCTCTCCTTGAGGACCGTTTCGTGCCAGGGACATCTTGGCCGTGTTTGCAATGAGTTCCTAAGAGACTAGCTGCGATGGTGGAAACTAGAGTTCGAATGGCTGATGCCTAGAACATAAAGGTTCGGGATTTTCGGGACTAAAGTTTGGTTTAAATACCCAGGGGTGTATCCTCGGCTTGAAATCTGTATGGAAGCCCCATAGGTTGAGATAGCATGTATGCACCTCAATTCTGGATACTGAACCAACCTAGTCTGTCACCCCGTTGGAGAATACGGAAAGTTGTGAATGTGGTCAGGAAGAAAAGTGGCATCCCAAGTGTTCTACGTGAAGGACCCTTGTTAGCATTTCAGAGCCTTTGTACTGTAAGTTGAAGGTAAGTGTTCGAAGATCACGAGGGGAGATCCCCATCAGAGTAGAGTGGTTCATCGCCACTCACCTCATGAGGTGCTTTCTAAAGCGCCGCTTTGTCCATTTATTGCTTTCCTTAAGCATCATGCATTGTAATGCATTGTACCTATCAAGTTTCTTCCTCAATAACGCGAGATATTGTATATACGGTTCATTCAAAGAAGTTCCATTTTAAGATCATTTATTTAGTGTATCAATCACACTTTATTTATTTAGTGTATCAATCACACTTCATTCATCTAGTGTATCAATCACTCTTTTCACTTTTAGTGTATCAATCACACTCTGTTCACATAGTGCATCTATCACACTTTGTGTTCCGTTTTAGTGTATCAATCACACTTCATTCATTTAGTGTATCAATCACACTCTGTTCACATAGTGCATCTATAACACTTTGTGTTCACTTTTAGTGTATCAATCACACTCTGTTCACATAGTGCATCTATCACACTTTGTGTTTGCTTTTAGTATATCCATCATACATGTTCACTAAATGCATCTATCACACTTCGTGTTCACATTTAGTATATCAATCATATCCTGTTTCACATAGTGCATCTATCACACTTTGTGTTCGCTTTTAGTGTATCAATCACACTCTGATCACTAAGTGCATCTATCACACTTTATGTTCCCTTTTAGTATATCCATCATACTTGTTCACTAAGTGCATCTATCACACTTTGTGTTCATTTTTAGTGTATCAATCACACTCTATTCACATAGTGCATCTATCACACTTTGTGTTCGCTTTTAGTGTATCAATCATACTCTGTTCACTAAGTGCATCTATCACACTTTGTGTTCGCTTTTAGTATATCAATCATACTTGTTCGCTAAGTGCATCTATCACACTTCATGTTCACATTTAGTATATCAATCACACTCTGTTCACATAGTGCATCTATCACACTTTGTGTTCACTTTTAGTGTATCAATCATACTCTGTTCACTAAGTGCATCTATCACACTTCGTGTTCACATTTAGTATATCAATCATACTTAGTTCACTAAGTGCATCTGTCACACTTTGTATTCACCTTGAGTGTATCCATCACACTTTGCTCACTTCACCCTTTGTATATCAATTACACTTTGCTCAAATAGTGTATCTATCACACACTCACT